AGCATATAGAACATATAAATTAAACTAAACTGTGAACATATGCCCAGTTTATTTATCTTTTTTTTTTGCATTCTGTGGGCAGTTTGCAAGACTGATATTAGAACATTAAAGGCCTTTTCTGAATCAATTTGTAAGGACCGAAAAAAGTTCATTCATTTCTGATCACTTGTTAATGTGAGACACTGGGCTTCAGTGTGTCTACTGTAAAAACACTCTGTTGCAATACATCCAAACTGTGTAAAATAGTACTATAACATGCATGTGCTGTGAAAAGAGGGCTGCAAAGAGCAGAGATAAAAAGAGAGAGAGAGCGATAAAGGGGAAGAGAGTGACTGCCCCAGTAGTGGTTTTGGCTGAATACGCATGGTTTTCCAGTGTCTCACTGGGGGACAGGGGAATTTCACACACACATGCTGGTTGCTTACACTGGCACATGGGGCTGGTACAGTATTACAGCACATTACCATCTCTATTTGGCATTGTTTGCTTTGCCTCGTGCCTACACATACAAACACACATGCACACAACTCCTGACCATACAAGCCAACCACAGGCACCATGGGAATAGTCTATTGGCTACTGGCAAAGCTGATGCCTGGTCTGAGTCCAAGACAGAGCAGAGAGGAGAGCTGCGAAGCAAAAATGCCACTGAATTTCTGCTTCCAAAGATGTCATCGCTTGATTCTTGCGTGTAAAAAATTTAAAAGGGGGGTAATCAAATCAGCTTTGGAGCACTCAACATTTTTAGATTTTAGCTGCTCCACTCGCAAGAGATGCAAGTATGTCTAAAGCGATAATATTCTATTTGTGTTTGCCTGTTTTCTCTAAAATATTCCCTTTTAATACAGACAACCAACGTTGGCTTTACAGTGCTTCATGCAGATGTTTGTGTCTGCATGAGTAAGTGTGTCTGTGTTGTGACGGATGGCAGAGGGCCAGAAACACTGCTCCTCCTCAGGGTAGATAAAACAAGACTCACAAATCACCCAGCCCTGACACCGCCGTGTTCGTGTGCAGATCTACAATATTAAGGCACGTCTTTTGTGTACCTGCTTTACTTTTAGTGTTTTATTGGAGCTCCGGGTCTCAAAGTGTTTGTAAATTTACTTGTTTTTTTTTCCTCAAGTGGGTAAGTGTGTGAACATCTCTCTGCTGTGTCGTTTCTTCTGTGTGCATATGAGTGTATTTATGAATGTGAAAGGGGCAGGGCCAGAGAGCAGGGAGAGAAAACCAGGTGTAAAGATCACTTCCACAAACCAGTATACATAATAAACATATGACAAAGGAGGAGTGGGCAGGACAGGGCAGCAGAGAGGATGAGGAGAAGAGCTGGAGAAGAGAAGAAAGGGGTGAGGAGGTGAGAAGAAGGAGAGAGTCAAACGAACGAGACACGAGGAGAGAGGAGAAATAAATGAGAGCAAAAGGGGGAAGAAAAAAAAGGGGAGGGACAAAAAAAAAAAGAGGAACTGTACAGCTGAGGAGAGAAAGGACAAGAAGGGTGATAATGGAGACAAAGAAAAGAGCAGGAGGAAGGCACTAAAAAAAGAAAATCCAAAGGAGAGAGTAGAGAGGAAGAAACAAAGCAAAACAGGAGAGAGATCTGAGGGAAGACAGCAGGTAGAACGATGGAATGTGTATTTTACCAGTCAGGGTGTGATTTCTGGGTCCGTCAGTGTGAGTAAATACGGTTCCAACACCGGTCTGGTTCAGGTGGTACCGTTGTATGACTCCATTGGGACGAGTGGGTTCAGACCAGCTCACGTGGAGGGAGGAGGAGCTTACAGCTGTTACCACTGGAGGCTGCACGTCCTCTGGGACTCCGCGGACCGTCACTGCCACCACCTAAACACACACACACGGACATAGGCGGAGGCACGGAAACACACACACGCACAGATGCAAACAAATTTAACACACACCAAAATATAAAACACAACAGATTTCTGATATTTTACAGAATGTAAAAGGTGCATAAAACAGATGGATTTCTTGCTATGATCATTTATTAACGTAATTAACATGATCATAACCTCATAAAAAGTGCATTCAAATTCAGGACTCTGCTTTCTCAGGTAATAAAGATCTTGTTGACAGCAAATGAAGATGCTTCCTGGTGATTTAATGCATCCCGCTTTTCAAAAATAAAATAAAATGAAACCAAAAAATAAATAAATAATGAAAAAAATAGAAAGATACTCATCTTTTTTTTTTTTTTGCTTGAGGAGCACATTTTATGTTGCAAATAAAACAAAACCCACACTTTCTATAACTTATAGTACAGAAAAAAACTACACTAGTGTCTGCCAATGTAGTACTACAATACTTTAACAACTCTGACTGTTCAGCAGAGGTATGTCGACTAGACTCGCAATGAATTAATCGATTAGTTGCCAACTACTACATTAATGGTTAACTTTCTTTAAGGAAATAAATCAAAACCTTCTGATTCCAGCTTCTTCAATGTGAATATTTTCTGTTTTCTTTATTCCTTCATGACACTAACTCTGGATTGTGAACAAAACAAGACAAAAATAAAACGTCATCTTGGGCTTTGGCAAACACTGAGCAAGGTTTTTCAGCATTTTATAGACCAAACAACTAATTGATTAATTGAGAAAATAATCAACAGAATAATCAACAGTGAAAATCATTAGTTGCAGTCCCACTGTAGACGACAGCATCCTGTAACACAGGGGCTCTCAAACTGTTGACCTCTATCAGGATGAAGACCCAGTGCAGCGTGGATAACCAAAGAAATAATATGTGTAGCATTAAACTGAATAAGTATGATTTCAGTGGGGAAAATCTACCAATTGCAAATCAGTTTGCATGTTAGAAAACTTTTCAGAACATGATACTACATTTTGTTCCTTGAGCCCACTGAAGCAGAGAATGAATTTGAGCAAAGTGTACAGACATTAATTAATTTTCCCAGAGTAGTACTCAAGTGTAGGAATACTGGAGACTAACAGATTTTCTCTCTAGAGCATTACTCCCATTCTGAATGGATATTATTCCTTTATCAATACATTTAATTTCTGAACAGACGTGAACCTGCAAGATGTGTTTATGTTGCATGTGTAGTTTCCAATCAGCAGTAATCCTAAATATCACTGCGAGAAAATGGGAAAAAACACATGACAACTCCTCAGTAGGTTCAGCTCATGCAAAAAAAACAAAAAATTACAGCTTCTTAGTACAGTGATAAGAGTGACCATCTTATTGTAAATTCCCAGTGTGGTATCTGTGGGCCCCTGTGAACGCTGGGTGAATGTGGAGACCACAGAATCACAGGGCAATCTGCTGCTAATGGCAACAGGGATATCCTGCCTTAATAGACTGTCACTAGCACTTCCACCACCTGTCCCACACAGTGCTATGCAATTAGAGCACTGCTACTACAACTAAAGAGACACACAAGCACGTGCACACAGATAAACACACGCACACACACACACACACACACAGGTACGTGCAGGTGTACACACGCAAACACAAACAGGTAGAAGAGAGGAAACAGCAAAGGAGGAAGACGGTGAGGATGAAGCAGGGGAGGCGTAGTATCAATCAGTGACTGCCTCAGTGTGCTGTCAGCTCAAATGTCTGTCAAGATGTTGCTCAAATGTAAAGAAAATAAAAGCCAGATAACAAACCTGCTGTGTATGAGTGCAAGCGAAACACAGTGAACTTAACTTAATGCTCACACACCTCTGAATGCAAAGATTAGTACTCAGAGTTGACACAGGTGCAGTCAGATGTTAGGAGGAATAACTAGGTCACTAGCTACATCTAAAAATACTTGATTCATGCATCCTATACTGAAAAGGTATTCTGAATATTTAATTTCTAGTAATTATATGCAAACATGACATGGTGGAAATCGTTAACAGCTCAGGAAATACAGTCTAGATGCTTATGTGTGCACCAGAAAGCTCCGTACTGTACATGAGAGCACACACCTCACCAGGATACTCTTTATTCAACCCTTGTGTCGGTACACGAAAGAATAGAAACTCAGAGCGCCAGAGGAAAATGGGACTGTGAGAGACATACAGATAAGGGAGAAAGGGAAATGTTGGACTCCGGATGACAGGACGCACAAAACCGGCGAGAAGAAACGAGGATGAGGGAGGTTACGAAGGCAAACAGTTGTGAGAAACTGGGGACTGCAGTGCTGAGATCTGGGGAATGACAGGAGACAAATAGCGGAGAGAACAGGACAAAAGGATTCGAAGACAGAGGAGGACCAATCGCTCTTCCTCCCTCTCTAAGTGACCAACCGTATTAGATCAGCACCTTCTGTTGTCACGGCAGGTGTGCGCTTGTGTGTGCCTGTGTTTGTTTGTCCGTGCCTCCCTGTGTGTATGTGAGGGGGCTGATGCCAGGTAATTGCAGTGGTGTATTAGGTTAGCCCAAGTTATCCCATAATTGGGACTGTTTGGCCAATTTTCACTGGTGTACAAACTAATCCAACTCACTCCCTTCTCACCCTCTGTTGCGAGTGTGTGTGTGCTTGTTTGTGTGAACATATGTATGTGTGTGTGTGTGAGACAGGCAGGTAGGCAGACAGAACATGGAAGACTTTAGTTTGTGGTGTATGTGAATGTGTTCAGAGCTCTCAGTTAAATGGATAAAGTTTCCTGACAGGATGGTCCAGGGGTCGATTTTGAGAATTTTCAATACAAAGTATGCCAAGAGTTGGGTGAGTGTTTCTATGAAAGCCCAATGTTCAAGTCAAATGATGTGTTGACCTATCACGAGGCCCTGCAGCACCATCATTGTCTAGTCCTGACCTGGCATCCCTTTAGACTGCTTTAAAACACTACTCAGGTCATCAGGGTGGGCATCGACTGTTCACCCTCTCAACAACTGGGCTGTCAATGAGTTGGGCCCACAATGCAGAGAAGGTTCAACAGCTTTCCACAGCTCAGTCCCTCCGTACCTGCACCTCAACTGGGTTGGAGCTGAGCTTTGCCTCCTGACATCCAAATTACATCCTGTCAAAGCTCAGCACCATCTGTTTCATTATCACAGCATTACCAGGTCGCATACAACTACTGAAATCTGCTTTCAGACAATGTCTTGTGCTGAACAAACAAATGTAAAATGCCGCCTTCTTATCTTTGACATAATTAAACAGCTGTAGCATCACATAGCGGCACGACCCACGCTGTCTCCAAACCCAGAGAGTGACTGTGTGTAACTTACAGAGGCGGCACAGCAGTTTTAAAATCAGTCATTATTTACATCTTCTGTGATCTTTATCATGATCTTATATAGCCAACGTAAATGCTTTTCTGCACAGGAGACAGCTAAGTTGCTGTTTCTACAGTAAAATCATCGGAAGTGTTTCTGTTCATGCTGAACCCAGCGCCTGACGATGTGTACAGGTGTCACTTGAATGACTTGCTATTGAAGACACAGTAACCTTTCTTACTGTCCACAGTCTCACTGGAAAATGGCCCTGTCTGCACGACTATAATCAACACAGCCCACTGTAGCAAGTTATACTTGCTGCTGTCTACAACATCGTCATCAGCCTGCTTGCCAGTATATTTGCTAAATAACCAGTCGCTAACATTTCATGCTGCTCAACCCACAAAGTAACAAACCAACATTAAACCAGGTGCTATCATGGTTAGCTTAGCCGCATGCTGCATGACCCACCAAGTAAACCAAGGAACAACCACTGAATGCTAAACTAACTAGCATTCAATAATATGTTAAGCAAAAAAATCATGCATCTGAAACACCAAATCAATAAAAAAACAATCAGCAACTTAACCTTAATATTTAACAAAGACAATGCATCACATGTAATACCACCGTCTACCAGCAGGGCAGCTAACATCAGCAATAAACTATAAGCAAATATTTAGATCTTGTTTTTTGTTGAATAAATACCGCAAAGTTTAAGTGACTATTCAGATTTTTGTTCTGTATATCCAGAAGCATTAGTACAATCTAACGACTACAATTATTACTACATTCTGTGTGTGTGCTGGACTGTTAAGAAGTAGTTTGATGGCCCGTGAAACATATAACTTGGACAAGTTAAAATTCTTTATTCAGTGTCTCCCTGCCTTAAAACAGACTGTACAAGCTGTTTTTAAAGAAATATGCAACATATCAGTGACCATAAATGTTTACTGGCTACTCATGAGTCCTGGGCTAATCATAAGTATGCCAACAGATCAAACTTCTTTGGGGGTACAGGAGCCAACAGGAGTAATGCAAACAAAGGGTGTCATTCTGCTTTTAACAAGATGTCTGGAAATTAAATAAAACTAACAAATTAACATGTGCTGTTGTTTGTCTATATAAATATATTTGCAGAAACTCAGACATGCTTACAACAGCAACAGAATCCCGATGTCCCCATAGTGCAAAACCTGCAAAAAACATTTCTCTTTCTTCTCCAGTGACATAGCTATAGGCTTCCTCTTTACGTAAGAACGCACTTATCAAAAATAATGAGATGTTAAATTAGCTTTAAAAAAAAAAGCCAGAAAGACAGTTTTCAACACGAGCTTTCATCACCACTAAGCCGGAGAAATTAATTGTTGTGGTGATATCAGCTCAGCTACAGCCAGAGAGATAGCAGGGGGAGTTCTGTGTGAAGGTATTATGGGCGTTATCACAAACATCAGGTAGGCTCAGCAAATCCAGAGCCTCGCATACAGGGGGAGAGCGGAAACAAGGCTAAATAACAACTTGTTCCAGCACAGGAACAGAACAGAGTTCACACAGTGTGGAAACATCACACACTGTAATTTCGTAACAACAAAGGTCAGACAGATTTAGAATTTGTAAAATATCACTCGGCAGAACAACTGTGCACCTGAATTATGAAGTAAACATCGCTTAGAAATCAGCATCTGAGGTGGCTTTTACGAGAGGGTAAAAGGGCATTTAGCCGAAAGGCCACTGGCCAAACAATGGATCAGATGAGCGGCCAACTGCAGAAGACCAACGCTGCAAGGTTGCTGTTGTAAATTTAGCCAGTGTGAAGTGGGGTGGTGGCATATCCAGGCGTTTTCTCCTTGAGAGAAAAGATGAAAAGTGATCTTCGCACACTTGTGTTCAGACAAGTGCATAGGAGACGATTAAAGTACATTTCTTTAATGGCAAAGAATCAAATTTTTATACCTGATGAAACACTGACAACAAAAATACTAACAAGCAACAATGCACCAACATGTGTATGCGTCTTTCCTGACGATGCTAATAAGGGAGCAATGTTGCCTCTGATTTCTCCCTCTCTCTCTGTTTCACACACACATGCACACACCAACACAACTTTTTCCACACATCCTTCTTTTTCTTTTAAGTGTTCAGGCTAAATTAAAGAAGTGAACTAAACTACAGAGTAAAGTGGTGCTTAGTTCAGTGAAGCCCAGGCCATCTTTAGAGGAGCCATTAGATAATCATACAGTGGAATAATGTCATTATGAAATGGGGTGCTACAACAGAGTAAGGTTTTGTAAAGTATGTGTGTGTATTAGTGTGTAAAAAAGAGAGAGTGCTCTACAGGAGAGAGACAATCAAACAGCACACAGTGGGAATCAACAGAACAGATATTCTCTTTCCAACTGTAGGGGCAACCAGTAATGTTTTACTGTCTCTTTGTGCCAAATTACTAGAAAATACCAACAAAGCATTGCAAGTGTTGCTTATCAGTGCCAGCCACCTATTTGGTATCTAAAGGGCTGCTGCAGATAATAAATATGCCAGCAAGCCCAGACTTTTAAAAATGAGTACTGATGCAGTAATACTTTTGCTAGGCATAAGTAGTTCGATAACCTCATCTCCTTATCTAAACTAATTTTTAAGATTGTCCATAACCTGGCCCCTCCCCCACTCAAAGCTTTTGTATATCAGACAGCAGAAACGGCCAGAAGAGTAACCAGAACAGCTACCAGGGGACACTGCAACATTCCAAGATGCAAAATGTCATTTGCCCAGTCTGCCTTCTCCTGTCTAGGTACAAAGAAATGGAATGCGCTCCCCCAAGAAATCCTGAGCTTAGACAACGCCAGAAGCTTCACAAAAGAAGTTAAAGATTGGTTTCTCGCAAACCAGAGATGTCTGCATTCATAAATGTTTTTAGTGTAATTTTAGGGCCCCGAGACATGTGTCTGTAACTCCGGCCTTGTGGTATGACACAAATATCTGATGCCTATTTTAATACTTATTGTGATTATGCACTTAGTCTGTTGAGTGATGTATGTTCTATGTTCCTTTTGTGACGAATGGATGAATGTGTGTGAAACACTGACTGCACTGTAAACATGTCACTGTGACCTCTGCCCCTTCCCCAGGACTACAGATGGAAATTAGCTCGACAGCTATAGTCTGGTACAAGCATCCTTGCTCTTGAGCATAATGTAATTGTACATTGTCCGGTCAATAAACAATAAAAAAATAAAAAAATAAAAAAAGTTAGCCACATAAGATTTTCTTAATCTCGCAACAGTAAAACAGCACCGACACCAAACAGACATGTAGTTTTACCTCTGGACTGTCAGTACAACCAGCCCGGTTACAGACCCTCAGCTGGTAACTGTATTCCTGGAAAGGCCTGATCCCACCAACATCAGTGAAACTGTTTTCATCACCACGATAGCGCTCTTGCCCATCCCGCAGTATAACATAGTGGGTGATCTCACCTGGTAGATAGGGGAAAAAAAAAAAAAGTTAAATTGGATTACCACTATTAGATTTTGTTCTCAGTATTTGAGTCTGCATCTGATCATGAATTCACCTTTACTGGAGTTAATTAAACTGAACCACATCTACAGAGAAGACTTTTTATCACTGGGTTTTTTACTACTATCATAACATCTGCACACACACGTATACAAACCATTAGGTCTGGCGGGAGCTTGCCATTGCAACTGGATGATGTCATCTCGTTCACCTAGACGGCTCCAGCGGGGCGGTGCCGCTCCCCACGGTTTGTCCTCGCTGGTCGTCACTGTTGCAACGTCGCTGGAGCCTCGACCGAAGCTGTTCCAGCCCCTCACTCTATATTCATAGGTGGTAAAAGGCTCCAGGTCAGAGTCTGTTTCAGAGTAAGGAAAGGAGGAAAGACAGAAAAGGGGAGCAAGGGAAAAATTAATTAGCCCCTAACATTTACCCTCTTTTTTACTGAACAAGATGAAAAGTTTAGAACCATTTTTTTCATTGGACTCTGACAGTGAGCAGTACTGTTGGGCTGTATGTGCACTGCTAGGACTGATGAGAAACAATTGCAGCTGTGGCACTAGAACTCTAAAACCATTTAAACACCTCAAATTGTGGAACTTTGTGCTTTCAAACAATATAGAGTTTGTCAAATTTAATATAGAATGGGCTGATGTCATTGAAAATACAGCAACTTTAAAGGGGAAAGAAATATGAGATGAATTGAAAGGAGACCAACATGGACTTTGCATGTCTTAATATTTGACTTGTTGGTGCACTTGCTTGATTTTAATGAATGATACTGATGAATGGGAAGAAGATTGTCAAATAAGGGATTTAAAATGTTGTGTAGCTCTCAGAGGAAGTACATTACAAATGTAAAGATAGTACGCAGCTAAATAATCCAGATGGATTTGTGCCCTTAAATCCTTTAAAACCTTTTGCCTTTTTATGCAACATGTGTGGTTTGTATAATAATAGTTGCACCTTTGCAGTAAGACTGGGAGCTGAGGTGCAAACGTAAGCTACATGAGGATATAACAAATATATGCACTATCACTGGCGCAGCGTTGTAAACGTCAGGCCGCGACTGAAGCCTTGTGACGGACAGCTTGTTACAGCCCTTCTGGTGAGGTATACATACAGCTGCATATATACATACAGATGTACCTGCACGCATATGTGCATTATTTTTAGGAGTGTAAAGGGACTTCTGCTGTAAATGAGACCAGGTTGTAACTGCCAGTCTGGGACTCTTGTCTTTACTACTGTGATAACTGAAGAAGCAAAACACCCACAGCGACACACAGATGTAAATAGAACACTGAGCACAGACACATGCTAGAAACCCTGTGTTCGATTAAGAAATATTAGAAATACAAACTGTGTGTAGACAATACAGTATACGCTGTAATTATGATGCTCGGTCCACATGTGGAGCTATCTGGGTGTGATCTACCTCAGGTTTTTTTCTCCCCCGAAAAGTATAGCATGATACTCTGCATGTGAGTGTGTGTGTGTATCTGTGTGTGTGTGTGTGTGTGCATGAGAAACATCTGGTGTATGGTGGGTGGCGACAGCTTTATGTGCCTCTGCCCAGATGGTGTCACAGCATCGCCTAGAAACTCTTATCCTAACCGCCCCATGCTACACACACTCACACAAAGTAATTGAAACACATACACAGAACTACATTCACTTCAGAGGGGCACTGAAATAGTAACTAACTGGACGCAAACGCACACAAAACACGTGTCATTACGAGCACACAGCCACCCAGACACACACACACACACACACATAGCATCCACAACCACAATTAGTCTTGATTAAACAGACGTAACTACCCGGATAAATAATGTGTGGACAGACTGAAAATCACGACACACACGCCCACAAACACAAACACAAACACACACACACACACACACACACACACACACACACACACGCTCTTACTCCCTTTGGGCTGATAAATAGTGGAGAATGTTGAAATGGCATTTAAACGCCCATCACTAAGTTTTAATGACACACAAGTGTACAGCACAGAGAGAGTTACCATGTTACAGCTATTAATGTACACTGCAGCAGCTGTCTTGGTGTGTGTGTGTGAAAGTGTGCGTGGAAGGGCATCTGTCTGCGCGCCCGTTGATTGTAGCGGCTGCCACATTTAGAGTAAATGCAGAATTGGTTTCTGCAGGGTCGCAATTTCTATGAGCGTCATGTTTCACAGATGGCTATTCTATATTAGTTATTCTTCACTACGTCTCAGAGGACTGAAGTGAGAGTTCTAATTTACAGCAGTTATACATCAAAGGCCGGCAATGTAAATACATCACGAGTGGTCAAAATGTTTAAAACTCAACTGGATTACAGAAAAATACTGACATCAAGTAAACATTCAGTGAGTTTAAAGGGGGATGCTGCAGATTTTATTCAGTAGTTTTTATATTTTACGTACAAAACATTGTAAATTGTACATTGTTTTATCAAGCTGCACAAGTGTGGTTTCACTCATGCTACATAACTTGGCAATTAAAACTAAAAATGTGAAAAAGAAATAACGGACTAAGTGCGAGGTGTGTCAGAAAAGTTCCAGGACTGGTGTCACAAAAGATAGATTTCAAATCCAAACTACAAACCACCAGTTTTCCCCTGCAGACGATCAACCAGCACGTCTACAAAGAGATCCTGCAGCGTTTGCTTCGTTCAGTGCGCGAGAAGAGGCCAGAGTTGTGGCAGGACAAGTCGTGGCTGCTTCACCATGACAACACGCCTGCTCACAATGCTCTGAGCATCCAACAGTTCCTGGCTGAGAAGAACATCACCGTGCTGGAGCAACCTCCCTACTCACCCCACCTGGCTCTGTAGGATTTTTTTCCTCTTCCCCAAGCTCAAGGGGGTCATCAAGGGGACCCGTTTTGAAGACGTGGATGACATCAAGATGGCTGTGACGACGGAGCTGCGGAGGATCCTGGAAGAATCCTTCCAGGAGTGCATGGCGGCGTGGCAGAGAAGGCTGGGTAGGTGGGATTACTTAGAAGGGGATAATTTGTAGTTTGGATTTGAAATATATCTTTTGTGACACCAGTCCTGAAACTTTTCTGACACACCTCGTATAACCTGCCAGACGAATCGACTTACAAGAGCTGAAACGATTTTTCAAAAATACTAACAAGCCTAGATGTTTGAGGCGGAGTACAGTGTGAAGGTGTGATGAGAAAATCAGAACTTGAACAGATAGCCCACAAAAATACCTTCAGGCCTTTAAAGCATTAAATATTGTCTCATAGACAATAAAACAGCAAACCTGCATTGACAAGGTGATGAAAACATTATGCAGAACAGCATTAAGTAGTCATTACTGGATGAATATGGTTAAAAAAAAAAAAAAAGCTGATGCATTCCCTGTAACAGTTCTTTTAAATTACAGCAAACATAGATACATTACCTGTATAGGTGTATTTTCCAGCATCTCCGCTGTGCACAACCTCCTCGTGTGACGGGCACAGGCTCCCCTCGAACTGCTTGTTCTCAGCGTGCGTGTGACTGTATGCGTCTAGCATTTTGTAACTGTTATTACTTCTGTTTGTATGTGTAGACAGGCCTGTAGCGAGTGTTTCCTGCGTGGGGCTGATGAATGGGGAGTACGTTGTGGACTGTGTGTCAGGCTGTGCCGACAACACCCATGTGCAGGCGGTCGTAGATGGATCAAGGTCACAGGAGCCACAGTAAGCTGTAGACGCTGCAGCTACGGGACACACAGCACCCTTTAAACACTGGTGCTGCACAGAGAAAAGGCAGAGAGACGGAGATAAACGGAAAGAATGAAGGGGAGGAGAAGGAGGAGTTAAATATGTACCAGAACAGTAAACAGCAGGATCAGAGGAGAAAGAGGAAAAAAGGTAGATTAGTGAAATTAAGGTATTCAGAATGGTTATTTTTCTTTAAGTGAGTCGTCAGCTAGACAAACTTATCCAACAGAAGTTCACTAATCCTGTAATCCTCCACACATACACATGCAGAATGTAGCTACATATGTATTATGTGCTGTTTGTGTGTGTATATGTGTGGTATACATGGCCCTTAATAACATCATTAGAGCTAATGAGAGTTCCTACCCTTTGTCCCTGTTTGTGTGTGTATGTGTGCATGCATGTGCCATCTCCCGCTGACTCAGAAACACACAAACGCCACATGACCCCAGTTGATAAATGGAAGATGGCCCAGTCCCCAACTCCTGATGTGACAATGAGAGTGAGTTTACCAGAGAAACGGAGAGATTCTATCGAACCCCTAATGTCCACTGGGCTGCTGGAGACGATCGGCTCTGCCATTACAGCCGATGTGCCAGAATTTACTGGACGTTTAAGTCCAGCATCTAACTTGCAGTGCTCTTTTTTTTTTTTTTTTACTCTGCTTCTGTATCTTTATGTGCATTAGATCTCTCTTTTTTTTTTTGGTCAGACCAGCTTGCATCTCTGAAATTAATGTCAAATTTGCTTGTGAATGCAACACCTATAGTAGATTAAAAAAACTCCCACAACATTTAACAGTGGATATAATATGAATGCATGTTTTTTTTTCATGTCACTTTTTGTTTTTTTTAATTTTTCAGTCTGTCTTAAACACAATAAGGAAAAAAAAACTGCTTTAAGACACTCAACATCTGGAATACAACAGTGGACGCTGAACTGCTGCAAAGACGTGATGAAGCAGTGGTGCAGCCGCTTCAAGAACTCATGAGGTACAACAAAGATAAAGTGTAAAAGATTTAGAAAGAAACTGACACAAATGACGGATTTCTCATCTGTGGCACTTATAATAGCAGACAAAACACAGAGTGTAAACAAGAAAAAAAAGGATGCACTATCTTAGACTCAAACACACACACATTGTCTCACATAAAAACACACCTGTATGAGGAGACCAGGTGTGGGTCGGGCAGCGCACACATGTCGTTGGGGGTCGTAGCCAATCCCATTGCAGCATTCCTCTCCTTGGTGTATCACCTTTGACCCGCAGCACTGCAGCGTCACCGTGGCGTTGCCAGCAGGGTGCATTGTGGGATATCCATCATTGCCCACGCAGCAAAGAGAGGTTGAAGAGTTGATGTACTCCTGACCACAGCAGACAAAACCTAAAGACAAAAGATTATTACGGTTTCATATGTTTTTTTTCACAATTTTTTTTTTTTTATCGAGACATTATTTGTTAAGGAACTCTTTCCACTTTGGGCTAAAACTGCCAACTCTGTGTTTTCTTGCAACAAATTTAGCTGCCTCACAAATTATTCAAAATCTAATCAGAAGGTTATGTTGGTTTATCAAACCGCACACATTTCAAACGGCTGTTTAGGAGACACTGAATGGTCAAAGACAATTTCAGTGACGCTGCTCCACCTATAAAACATCTCAGGTCCTCCAATACTTCAGTTGGGCCTCTGACATCATCTCGATTACATACTTTCATTACGTTTCTAGATAACATCATCAGCTTTAAATGTCTCTCTATTACAATAGATATTGGCATCACTTTACATTTCCTCATCAGCTGCGTATCCACACTGAAACAGGGTATTTTCTAAAACCTCTCATCCTATTATTCTGCCTCTTTCCTGCTCTTATAACCCCTCTGCTCTTTCTGTTTTATATCTTGTCCTCCTCCTTCCAAAATCTTTCCACCGTCCTCAGTTCCTTCCTTTCACCTCACATTTTATACTTTCTTCTCTCCATATTGTAAAAATATTCAGGCGCCGCAGAGCTGAGTTGTTGCTCATCTACACTTCCTAAACTCCCCTTTCCTCCTCTCTTCAATCCGTATTTTCCGATCTGCACAGAAACAGTATTAAGCTGCTCTGAATATTACTGCGCATCTTTTCTTATCAACTCCTATATACATCCACCTATCCTCCTCTCTCCCTCCTTCCCCTCCTCCCTTTCCTCTCCCGTATTCATCTCTCAGCAGTAATATTAAGGCTACGCCGTTGAAGGAATGCAAGGGGAGAGGAAGTGTGTTTTTCTGAGAGCTGCCATTTCTGACAGTGATAGGTGATGTCTGTCTGCCACCACTTCACCTTCAGCAGCAAGGTGACATTTAAAATACATGCTATCACTCCATTTGCCTGTAAATGTTTTCCAGCTGAATATCAAATTTCAAGTATGTTTCGTCGCATTCTCTGCTGCTTCACATTTCAAATTCAAATAACCCGAGTTGCTTTTAATGACTGACAAATTAAAACTGCTGCAGTAGTTGCTGCATATGTAAAGTAGAAATTCCTGACAGATATAATAATGTTTAGTGTAAAGAACATATAAAAAGGATGTGTTTAGAAAGCTGAATAGATAAAACGCTATAGTTAGAACTCTACTTCACTGAGTGTTTTTTAATGAAATTGTAATTTTGTCAATTAAACTTCCCAGAAAACACAATGAGCCTAACACGGGCTGCTGGTGGTGGTTTAAGTAAGTGATAGTTTACATTAATAATCTAGTAATGATGCAGTGTTCTGCTGGGAAACCGAAAGTCTTTCATGTGAGTGTTATTTGACACCATCCACTTAAACACTGGGGAAGACCACATGGATCCTCCCAACACTTGTAGCAGCAGAACAATGAGCCCTGTTGCTCCACAGGAATGGCTCGAGGAACAAAACAAAGAGCCCAAAATGTTAAACCAGCCACCAAACTCTCCAGATCCCAATGTGAACTAGCATCTGTGGGACGTACTGGAGAAATTCTCATCCACTGAGGCTCTGGTCCACAGAACACAGGACCGAAACCACATTCACACCTCGCCACAAAAGACTCTAACGAACCCCATCGTGGCAGAGGGAGTCCGAACGACTGAGGGGGAGGAGCAACAAACCCACAGTTGAAACTGAAACTAAAGTGTTAATGGCTCCTAAAGAATACAAGTACAGTAATATCCGGACTACAAGACGCTACTTTTTTCACATGCTTTAAACACTGCGGCTTAAACAATGATGCAGCTAATTTATGGACTTTCACAATTTTTACGAATTTGCCTCGAGACGACAGTGACATTGAGAGTGACAACGAAAGAGAGACTGAGAAGTGTGTCGAAGTAATTCTGATGCTGTCCAATTCCGACTCTGAAGAAAACGACTTTAGTGGTTTTAGTGCGCAGGAGGAAGATGAAGATAGTGATCAATGACTTTTCCTGGTAGGCTGCTGTATTTTTATTTTTTTTTTAACCAGCCATGTTAAAAGCGCTGTTTGGAAAAAAGCATTTACGGTATTTGTGTGTGTTACCGGTACGTATTTAATCAAAAGTTTTAAAAAAATAAATCTGTGTAAATATCTCATGTTGCAACGTAGACACCTGCAGCTTATAGACAAGTGCAGCCTATATATGTACATCTTTTATTTCCTTTTTAAAGTTAGTGGGTGTGGCTTATATTCAGGTGCACTCAATAGTCTGAATATTACGGTACCTGGAACTCCCAACTAGTCAGTCAGAACTGATGAAGCCTCTTGGATGAAAGGTGAAATGTCTTCAAGAAACTCAAGCAAGTCCAGTTGCTACAATTAAACTATGAGAATGACTGAAAGCCAGCGTTTCTGTACCAGACACCACAGGACACCCCCAACAGGTCCAGTGTCTACGGCCTTGTGGGTCGGGGCTGTATTGGCGGCATGAGGGGGAATCTGCACAATTATAGGCAGGTGGATTTATGTCGAGGCTGACTGGTGCAAATCATACAAATTCAGCAAACACTAAAGGTCACGTGTCGAGAGTTTAACAAACTGGGACACACAGGACATACAACACTGGTGAAAGCTGAGGATAGTGTAGTGAAGCAGAGTAAACACGGTGTCTTTTCTCCAGTGGTCGTCCTAATAACACAAGTTGAACCAATCTGGTTACTTTGATGGCTTAGCTCGGTGGAGGGTGGGGACTGGCAGGCTTTGGCCTTGCAATGGATTAAGGCTACAATATTGTCCTGCTATAACACTGACTCAGCAAATCCCTGCTGTGAGGGTGCATTAGAAATACAAATGAGCAAAGCGAGGCACGGCTAAAGTAAAGTATTCTAACTGCAAAGATGGGGAAATGAAAAATCATCTTTTAATGAGAGACTCCAACAGTACAACTTCTCATTTTGAATTACAGACCGGAATATTAAAGATAGAGCCAGTCTTTTGCGGTTATTTAGTTTATTGTAAAAATAATCTATATTTTATGAGGTGTTTAGCAAATTTATCCTAACAGTTGATGACATGCTGATCTGTGGCACAATCTACCCCCAGCTGTGATGCCCATTTTATTTGACAGCAGACATTAAACACTAAGTCACTGCTTTGTATCGCGGCCTCAGCCTTTAATGGGGCTGCAGCTAGTTGTGGAGTGATAAATAACTTATTGTTTAACACTCTAATCAGCATTCACACTTCGAGCACATTAAATGCTGTTAATTTAAGCAATCATTTCACTTAAAGGCCAAAAGTGGAGAATGCCACATATTTTCTGCTGCACTGTTGCACTGCATTATATCCTCAACGCATCCATCACAGGCTCCGTATGACAGGAAAACGCATGTGTGTGTGATTGTGTGACATAAAGGCAGTCTGACGGCTAGTAACTCACTTAGCAGCGGCAGCTGTTGCGGAGCCGGGGCTTGGTGGCCAATTCCCCCAGCGCCTTACTTCAGCTTCAATGACGCGCAAATAAACAGCTCAACACTTTTCCAAAATAGCTTCTCTCCACTCACCCCTCGTCCTCTCGGCATCCTCACCTCTACTCCTCCCTTCCATCCGGACACCAGGTCCTCCACAACTCACAATTTTCACTCATTTGCCTCCCTTCCGTCTACTCCCTCCACATCCAGCTGTCTCTCTCTGTGTCATCTCACATGGCTCCGTTCAAACAGCTCTCTCATACATTTTTCTGACTCAAGAAATGACAACTTTATCACTTGTGAGATTGATCTGTTGCCTCGTCTCCATCCTCCATCAATTTTTTTTGTCTGATCATTTGTTCCTGCAACTTCTAAATCAATCTATCCACCGTTCCACCTCAATAACTGTTTGTCTTACTCTACTTTAGTCAGTTTATTCATTTCCTTCCTTCTCTTATGGCCTCTTTTTTTCTCTCCTCAGTTCTTAATTTTAACTCATTATCTTGTAATCTTGTTCTCATCTTACTCACTCCCATGAAAACAGGTGAAAACAGATGCGTACTCTCATGCACACACTTAGTTTGTGGACAAGTTTTCTACATTTCTCTTTTCACCATACTTCTACTTGCCCCTCTCTCGCCCATATTTCTCCACTTCAATTTCATGACGTCGTCTTGTTTCCATCTCCCTCTTATCCTGTTTTCCTTTTGCTCTCTCTCTCTCTCTACCTGCATGCAGTTCACAGGTTTACATTGTTTGTTTACTATTCTGCACCTAAACTTCACTATTGTATTATCATGCATTCAGCAGAAATCCAATCCCTGTCTTTGTAAGCGTTATCTGTGTATGGGTGTGTGTGACATGCCTGTACATTTGTGTTAACATTTGGAAACGCACACCCCTATTTTCTCTTCCTCTCTATAAGCTGTGTGTCTTTGCATGGGTGTGTATGTGTTGAGAGCATTTTATCACACACCTCTTGTTTTCTCTCTTGCATCACAGAATGCTTCAGCCCTAATCTTCAGATTTACGCAGGATTTGCATACATTCGTTAATAGCGTCGGGAGCGCCGCGTCAACACAAGGTGCTTAGACAACGTGAATTATTATTAGGGTTTCAGTCATTCCACTTAATGATAAGTCAATATTTAGCCCTGCCAATGAACTACTGATAAAAATGTGTGTTGTGGATTAGGGTTATCCGCGCTCTCTAGGAGACCAAAACCCCTCCACAACTTTAAACAAACCAAACACTTTTAAATACCTGAATATATTACAAGGGGTTTGGCACGAAGTGCACAGCAAGAGCACAAATACATAGTTTTGTGTGTAGGCATAACAGCACACACTCACACTGAAGCAGGTTCCATAGACACATATTGGTGTACTTACTAACAAACAATGCTTTGGAAGGTTTTGACTTATCAACGATCTCTACATACTGGTTTCAAGAAATTACGTATGAAAAGCAAACGATAAGTTTGAAAATGTGTTTTTGAT